TACCTTCAAATGAAAGCCACATATGTCCAAAAAAAGAATTCCCATTTGCAATTTTCCATTAACAACCAAGGTGATGTGACAAATATGTGGTAAGAGGTTCTTTTAACCGGAAAATACAAATATTTAACATTCTAGCCTACATTTGCTTTGTTGGACTCAAAAAAGTCACATTGGAGGAGTGAAATTTGTTTTTTTTTTTGTTTTTTTTTTTTTGTAAAAACAGAACCTTTAAATAGTTGACAGGAGAGATACATGGAACTTAATAAAAGACGATCATAAAAGAAAACATATTTGAAGTGCCAAAATATTCGAAATGTTAAAAAAAACAAACCACTGAACGTTATTTCCAAGTGGATTTTTGGAATGACTATGACCTGGATGACTGAGAATCTTCACCAGCATACAGCCAGACCAACCAAAGCATATTTATTTGCTATGATGTGGGCCAGTCAAAGTTCAGAGAGAAATCTGTAGAAACTTAAAATTATTGATTGCATATTTTTCTCCATACAGAGTTGAGATATTTTGATAAGAGGAATGCCTAAAAAATAAATGGGTCTTTAAATTTGCTAATCTTGTGTGGCTCTACCCAAAAGACTATGAGTGTAACATGAATCAATGTGAAACATTTTAAAAGAGCTGAGAATCCTATGCACCGTTTTGTATTCTATACCTCGTGAGAACAGTCAAAAATTCAGAATTGTAAATGAGAGTTTGAGCCCCACTGGTGTCCAGTGATGAGAATTATGAAGATTATAATAATTAAGGCATAATTGTAGTTTTTTTTCTGCTAAATCTCAACAAAGGCAAAGAAGAAAACACCCTGTATGCAGGCTGATGCTGGAACCAGCTAGATCAAACCGGTAGCTGTTAGGAAGAAGGGGGAGGTGAAGGAGAAGCAAGGGGAGAGAGGAGGAGGGGAGATTGTATGTAAAGATGGAGTAGGGAGGATAAAGTAAAAATTCTAGGATAAAGCAGGCAAGGTAAAAGAGGATTCAGAAGAAGAAACAGAAAGTCTTCTGGATAGCTTTGAATGGCTATGCAGGCATCATCTCTCAAAGATGCACTGCATCCGGTCTATGCTATTTTTAGCTGCACTAGTAAAGTTTGCATGGGCATGAGGCCTATCGATCAGCCCTAAAATTAACCTGGAGGGGAAGAGATGCAACCAACATCTGCAATAAAGAGTTTCACAATTTTCTTTTTTAACCATGCATGTTTCACTCATTAATTTGTTAATCAAGGTTTTCATCAGTGTGTAGTGAACCAACAGTTTCCATTGCATTTTTACTTCTTATTTTACGTGAGGCTATTCACTGCTTGCATCTCAGGCTCTGCACATTTAGCTGGTGGAAATTGTATTTCTTTTTCTTCTGACTCAGTTAACAAAATCAAATTAAAAATGACTTCCTTTTATCTACAAGAAATATAAGCAAACTGTCTGTGCGGTTAAAAAATTTCTAATTCAATAATTTGCTTGAATATTAATGCTAAGTGTTAGGCAGCACACCTTTTATACAACTTATCAATCGTCAATGGTTTGTTCCTATATTTTAATCGACCCATCTAAATACATATCGAACATTATCATCGTAAGAAATCATAAGGAAAAATTACTGCTGTAGCAATTGTTTTATACTGAAAATAGGACATCATATTTATATGTTGTGTTATTAGTATGGTATAACACAGTAATATGTAAAGTGGTTTCAAAGTCTAAACTTTTGTACATTCTGACCACAGTGCACCACCTTCCAGTGTCTACTTTGAAACCGTCTGGAGCCTGAGCATCGAGACAGATAGATTTCGGGTGCCCTAAACAAAAAAAAAAAAAAACAGAAAGCTTAAATGAGAGCAGTAGACATTCATATGATCTCCACCTGGGACCTCTATGCCTTATAGCCCCACCTTTTTAGCAGGTCACTATTGTTATCAGGCTAACATGCACGTAATTCTGTTACTTTTAACTATGGACCAAACAATTCCTGCTATGATTCTTGTATCTACTAAGCAACTGTAACTAATACACAAAAACAACAGAGATATCCGTGACAGCTTCAGCTCTAAGATATTCCTCTCCACACGCAGAATTACCGTAAGTAAAGCTGCTCGAGCTGCACAGCTGGAGAACAAATGAGTATATTTACTCCTTTTCTACACTTAAGTAAGGTTCAGTTTTTTCTAAATAGAGTGGGTTTAACCCTTCATCCTTTTCTACCTTCTAATTAAATTTCAAAATCTTGCTCTTTTTCTGTATAAATAGTATCTAAGAAATCTCCTAAATCTGTTCTCTCTGAAAAAAATTATATCTACCGAAAAACGTGAGATAAAAGTGTAACATAATTTAATTCCCTCTAGGATGGAATAATAATCCTGCCTCATATAGATTTTTTTGAAAACATGGACTGATATAGAAATAATAATTACACCAATTTATTGATATTTTCATTTCAAAAGTTTTATTTATTAACTTTGATCATTTAACTTCAAGAAAAATAAAGACTAGATAAATAATCAGTCTTCAAGTTCAGATAATATACATTTCCCCCTTTTTTTATTATACTTTTACTCTTTATTGAATAACATTTCAGAAATAAAAACCAATTAGTTAAAAGGACAATTTGATGCTGCAGCCAACCTGCTAAACATAGTGTACTCCACTTAGCTTGCTGATGTCCTTTAGTAATGCAACGTGACCTGAAACATTTCAAGAGCCAAATGTATCTTTCCCATAAATCTTGACCCTTTTATTGCAGCCAGCTGACTACCCGTGCATAGCAAGAGCGAAATTGGGTCAGTGCTGCGTTACTCCAGCCACTCTAGCTTTTTTTGCAATGTTATTATTTTTATTGTTTATTATTTAAAAAATCATTAATACAGGTAATATTGTTTTAGATGCTAGTAATTGTATGATGGAATTAGTTCCATGCAATTTGGCAATATACACTTTTTTAAAATGCTGGTGAAGATTCTCAGTCATCCAGGTCATAGCAATTCCAAAAGAGTTAAAAAGAAACCACTGGACTTTGTGTAGTTTGCTAATAAACTAAGGGACCAAAATGATGAATATCTTATGGTCTGATAAAATGAATATTGAATTATTTAGTCATAATGAGGTAAATCGAAAGATTGTAAGCATAAAAACACCCTCCCAAGTCTTAAGCATTGATGTGGTCACATCATGTTTTGTAGATATTTTGCTGCAACAGAAACTGGTGCAATTGGCATTACACGTGTTAATTAAAAAAAAAGGAAATACATGTAGATATTACTTAAATATAAAAATACTGAAGCAACATGTTAAGAACAAAGTCAGTGTTTAAAATGAAGTGTAGATTTGTGCCTTTTGGATGTGTTTGCAAAGTGGATGAATGAGTGTTCTGCTGTTTGCCATCTTTATGGTATGTTTAAGGCACAGACACATTGTCTCATTCATTTATTGAAGCCAGTCACATGCTAAAGCCTTGGTTCAAAATAGGGTAAATAGTTTTTTCTTTGACCTTTGCCATCAGTTATATTATATAAGTTACTTAACAGACACATTTTATTTTCCTTTATCCACTATATGACTGTGTCATATAGTGGATTGGGGTTGTTGGATTTGTATGTTATTGCTTGCTTATTATTAGTGTTGTAGATTAATTAAATAATAACTAGCCCGATTACTCAGCCAACAGAGTGAGAGTTTGAGTCAAAGATTGTGTACATTTATTGATTGGAAAAAGATTTCACATTTATGTGTGCAGTGTTCTGTTTAGTTTTTCTGTCTTTTTTTTCTGTGCTTTTCTTAGAAAAGATGGTTGTCACAACTTGTCCTCTTAGAAATTCCCATTTTCTGCTAGCAAACACAGTTTCATTGCACAATGTTTGCTCCCATAGCCTACCTGGCCAGCCTCTCAACTCAGGCACAATTCCAGGCCGTTCAGTCACGAGTTCCCATCCTGTGCCATCCCTCCCTCTTATATCCCCCAGGCACCGCTTGTAACATGCACAGGAAACTGACTCAGGATCTTTTAAGGGATTAAAATAAAAACAACAAAAATAAAGAAAGTTTATATTTTTCCTTTTAATTATAAGATGCATGGAAGAGTTTAGAGGAGGGTAAAATTGAGTAATGACCATTTTTATTATGTCGGACCATTTATATTATGCTGGTGAAGAATCCCTTAAATTATGTCAGAAAAAAAGAAACAAAGTACACAGAAAGGGAAGAAAACAGGGTGCACTTTAAAATGAAGGCTTACATATTATTGTTACATAACATATTAAAAGTGAAAGCTACTTCATATAATCATGTTTTACGTAAATTATTGAAATGTGTGTAGTTGTAATCATGTGCTTTCCTCTTTTGGCAAAAATGGAAATGCAGAAGTGGAGATGATTTAATATTTTAGGTAAAAAGTGACTAAGTTCGAAACTTCCTGTTGCTGTCTACCATTCATGCTCCTCCTGCTCCACTGAGCAGGCCGGGGGCCAGCAGAAGGTCTGTTATGTAACAACTGCTTCCCTCCAAGGGTGAATATAGCTCTGTAACAGACAAGCTGAGCAGCAGCATTTTTCGCTGCCCTCAAAATGTTGGCCTCCCATGTAAACAAGTTTTCACCTTAAAGCATGAATGCTAACTCTTTCATCCAGTCTCCATCCAGCTTTCATGCTGTATCTCTGAATTGGATGGATTAACGCAACACTTCTCTAAAATTACAATATTTAAAAGCTTCCACTTGCATACCTCCATGTTCAGCAGTGTTTGAGGACACGGAAATATATTTTACCATTGTTTAAATTGTGTCTGGTTGTATCCTAATGCATTGTGCAGAAAGGATTTCTATAAAGGAGATTTTTACAATTATAACAAACAGTAAAACTTACAGAAAAGAACATTGTAGCATAATCTTTTCACAATTTGAGATGTTTTATTGATGTAAACTGCTTAAAGACTTAAAGAACAAAAGCTTTACATTTAGTCATAAACATCTTCTTTCCTCTTTTTGTTTCTACAGATATGTTTCCTGGTGTCAGCTTTCCGTGGTCCCATATTCTCAGATGACAGCTGTGCTACTCTGGCACTGTTCTGCCACTATTTCTATCTGAGCCAGTTTTTCTGGATGCTCATACAGGTAACACAAATTTAAATTAAATAACAGAGATTTAATGCTCAAAATTTTATTTTACAAATGTTTTGAAAAAACAAAATAATAATCTAAGAGGTGTTTTTAAATGCCTTAGGGTGGTTTATAGTATCAGCCTTTTTCATGTGAATTAATGTTACAAATTATAGGTGTTTACCATAACTTTATTTCACAAAATTCTGGCAAGATTTATGAATCTATCTTTCTTAAAATGCACAAGCTGAACGCCATAACGGTGCACAAAGCAAAACTTTGCTGTTAAGCTTTCATGTTTCCTGTCAGTTGATAGAATCAGTCTCTATGACTCTCTTGCTGTCCACAGACATTACAGACAATTATCAGCATTTGTTAAATAGCTTCTTGAACTGCAACCTTTCCTCTCACTTAGTGTACCTTGTTAAATAAATTTAATATAAAAAATCGACCAAGTTTATGGTGCAGAACCGGTTGGGTGTTTGCTGACAATGCTATCAATGTTGGCAACCTTTGGAAAGCTATTTATATTTTTACATTAATGGAAATGCAGTTGTAGGTTAACTTCCTTTGGGATTTAAATTGGTATGCAGTATGAAAAACATGCCAAATCATCTCTTTTAACACTAAATAGCTTTTGGTGAAGCATTGTAGCTGCATGGGGAAAATTCCTTCTCACTGGAAAAACAAGCAAATTTCAGTGCAGAGATGTATTCTGCAATCAGAGGGAACTTCATATCTCCACCCTGAGGCACTGAACTCTACCCTCGAAGTTGTCATTTTTAACTCCCAAAGAGTAGGGTTTATCACTGACTACAGGTGCTGGTCATAAAATTAGAATATCATGAAAAAGTAGATTGATTTCAGTAATTCCATTTAAAAAGTGAAACTTGTATATTATATTCATACATTACATACAAACTCATATATTTCAGATGTTTATTTTGTTTAATTTTGATGATTACAAATGACAACAAATGAAAATCTCAAATTCATCATATCAGAAAATTAGAATATTACTGAAGACCAATAAAAACAAAGGATTTATAGAAATGTTGGCCAACTGAAAAGTATAAACATGAAAAGTATGAGCATGTACAGCACTCAGTATTTAGTTGGGCCTCCTTTGGCCTGTATTACTGCAGCAATGCGGCGTGGCATGGAGTCGATCAGTCTGTGGCACTGCTCAGGTGTTATGATAGCCCAGGTTGCTCTAATAGTGGCTTTTAGCTCTTCTGAATTGTTGGGTCTGGTGTATTGCATCTTCTTCTTCACAATACCCCATAGATTTTCTATGGGGTTAAGGTCAGGAGAGTTTGCTGGCCAATTAAGAACAGGGATACCATGGTCCTTCAACCAGGTACTGGTAGCTTTGGCACTGTGTGCAGGTGCCAAGTCCTGTTGGAAAATGAAATCTGCATCTCCAAAAAGTTGGTCAGCTGCAGGAAGCATGAAGTGCTCTAAAACTTCCTGGTATGTGGCTGCGTTGACCCTGGACCTCAGAAAACACAATGGACCAACACCAGCAGATGACATGGCACCCCAAACCATCACTGACTGTGGAAACTTTACACTGGACTTCAAGCAACGTGGATGAAGTGCCTCTCTTCTTTTCCTCCAGACTCTGGGACCTTGATTTCCAAAGGAAATGCAAAATTTACTTTCATCAGAGAACATGACTTTGGACCACTCACCAGCAGTCCAGTCCTGTTTCTCTTTAGCCCAGGCAAGACGCTTCTGACGCTGTCTGTGGTTCAAGAGTGGCTTGACACAAGGAATGCGACAGCAGAAACCCATGTCTTTCATACGTCTGTGTGTGGTGGTTCTTGAAGCACTCACTCCAGCTGCAGTCCACTCTTTGTGAATCTCCCCCACATTTTTGAATGGGTTTTGTTTCACAATCCTCTCCAGGGTGCGGTTATCTCTCTTGCTTGTACACTTTTTTCGACCACATCTTTTCCTTCCCTTCGCCTCTCTATTAATGTGCTTGGACACTGAGCTCTGTGAACAGCCAGCCTCTTTAGCGATGACCTTTTGTGTCTTGCCCTCCTTGTGCAAGGTGTCGATGGTCGTCTTTTGGACAACTGTCAAGTCAGCAGTCTTCCCCATGATTGTGTAGCCTATAGAACTAGACTGAAAGACCATTTAAAGGCTTTTGCAGGTGGTTTGAGTTAATTAGCTGATTAGAGTGTGGCACCAGGGGCCATCAATTTTGAACCTTTTCACAATATTCTAATTTTCTGATATGATGAATTTGAGATTTTCATTTGTTGTCATTTGTAATCATCAAAATTAAACAAAATAAACATCTGAAATATATGAGTTTGTATGTAATGTATGAATATAATATACAAGTTTCACTTTTTAAATGGAATTACTGAAATCAATCTACTTTTTCATGATATTCTAATTTTATGACCAGCACCTGTATATGGAGAATTTGGGATCAGAAAAGAGGGATTTACCTTTCTGCACTCCAAGCTTGAATCCAGCCTTGTAAGATGAATGTGGGCATCTTGTTAATGTTCTTTTTTTAGTTATTGAAAAGAGCTAAAACAAACACAAATACTTCAAATCTACACTTACTAACCTTTGAACTTAATGAAGAGTAAATTCAAACAGGTCTTACAGTAAGAAACTTATTTTGGTTAAACAAAAAAATAAAATCTTAAATCAGCTCTAATAATTCTCATTAGATGCTGCCCAATTATGAGCTAATGAGATAAAAACTTGTCAAACCTGTGAAATATTAATTAATTTCTCAAATGTTCATTCATTCAAAGAAGAGCACATTTTTAACAAGTCTTCCCTGTTTTCCTTCTGTTAACCGATATGCACCTTGTGTTGACCAGCTTTCAATTGTTATGTTTGAAACTGATTTGTCTTGATAAGGAACTGATGTGTTATTAATTGAGGTTTATAAGATTAACTCCTCAATCAGCTGAATGAAACAGACCAAACCACAATGTATAACTAGATCAATGAATTGTAGGCATGCTGGATCTTGGTATTTATGTCTGCTTGTGCACAGATGGTGACCTCAGAGACTCTGTGAAGAGACAATGTGAAACTAAATTGAAGTAAGCTGTGACTCGCATACAAGATTTCAGAGCCACATGGTTTTCTTCAATAGGTTAACAGCTCATTTAAAGCAGTGGAAAGAATTTTAAACAAATAATTAACCCAGAAAGGACTCAGATCAAGTAAAAGAAGCAGTGTTGCATGGAGACAACAATCATTTCATGACATATCTACATTGTCATGTGTTAGAAGAGCTGAGAATAAAGGTTCTCTAGATACTAGCTTTCATCAACGTGGTGCTGAAACCCCAGTGTCGTCTTTATTAGCTCCAGTTAAAGCTCACCACTCATTCCTCCCCAGGTATTAGGTTGCTGCTTTTAGACAAGTAGCTGAAATCAGAGTTTGCTATTGAATCTTACACCCAGAAGACGAAATTAATCAATATTAGCAGTGTGTGTGTGGGGACAGTATCAGGTCAGAAGAATTTACTTTGGTGTAATGACAGAAATTCAATCTTGGGCCAGAAAAGCTGTTTCTGGACTGCAGAGGCTCCAATAGAGGATCTCAGGTAAATTTAAATGTTGTAGTTGCACAAAAGTCCCGCAGGCCTGCCTACAGTTTGTGTTTTTCATTTCTCTGTGTTCCAGTTTGACAGTCAAACAAGCACCTGAGGCACCTCTTACACCTTTGTAGACAGACGGCTGGCAGTCTGTTAACAGCAAACAAACCAGTTTCTTATAATAATGAGCAAGGGGACAAATATTCTATTTATACACTGCATTCAGAACAGCTTAATCATGATTGAAGTTTTTACATTTTGTTTTGTCACAACAGCAAGTTAAGAAGCCCAAGGTAAGTCATTTTCCCTCCAGATGCTTTGAAGGACACAGAGCAAACATGTGGGAAACTGTGGACTTGAATGATGAGACCAACATTTTATTTCTAAGGCAAGATTCACACAATTTGTGTTAGAAAACCTACATGGCACATCACTCTGAACCCTCCACCCTATACTGAAACATGGTGGTGGCAACATTATGCTGTCGAGATTTTTTTTATTTTCAGCCGTGGGAGGGAAGATGCATTGAAATAAATACTGGGCAAAACTAAAACATGTTTTTACCATGTTTAAATAAAATAATAATAATTCAATTCAGTTTATTTATATAGTGCCAATTCACAACACATGTAACCTCAAGGCACTTTATAGTTCATCAGATCATACAGTCAAATTGATCCAAAGTTTTCTATCTAAGGAAAACCAGTTGATTGCATTGACTCATTGACTCATTGCAATCCCTCACACTAAGCATGTAGCGACAGTGGAGAGGAAAAACTCTTTTAACAGGAATGAACCTGCAGCAGAACACGGCTCAGTGGGAGCCGCCGTCTGCCGAGGCCGACTGGGGTTCAAGGAGACAGAGATACAAACGCAACTAATTTAACTTTATTGATTTCACATTGGAGAAATTTACTTCTTCATTAACCGATCTCCTTGGGAAGCAGTGGGCTGCCATTGTGCAACGGAAGCAATGTGGTGTTAAGGGTCTTGCTCAGGGAGCCAGAGTGGCAGTCCGTGGGATTGGGGCTTGAACTTAGAACCTCTGGATTCCAAGCGCAATGTCATAACAACTAGGCCACCACTCCCCAAATGGGTAAAGGCAAAAAAAAAAAACTGTATTATAGTCAGATGTTCAAGTGTGCATAAGGAAGGGATGTTTGTATAACACACTTAAAGTTTTTACAATGACCTTGGAGTTTATGAGGTGCTTTGATTGGATTTGTCCAATAAAAATCTTAGCAAATACACCAGAACTTGTGTTTGTCTCATGCAAAAATGCATGAATGCTGTTTGTAAGGTGCTAATAGTTTATGTTAGTGTTACAAACTGGAAACTGCAAACATTTTTTCTAAATAAGGGATTTCTTCTCCTTTTCAAAAGGGTCAGAATAAACAAAAAAAAGACATTCAGTAGTCAAGCATTTATTAAATATCCAACCGTTTTTTGCCTCCACTATTAAGTGGGTTTCAGTGGGACTCAAAATGTCCAAGCATTTTTTGTGGAGTCATTGTATTAATCTTGTGTTTGATTTTTCAATATCAGATATTTGTGTATGAACTACAAGGTGTCTCCATATGATTATAAAATATACAAAAAGTAATTACAATAGCAAAATGGATGTTATGTCAGTCAGTACTTTGTTGTGGAAAACATACAACTAAAACATTGTTGAATACAGAAAATATTTTTAGAGCTCACGTACAGTCTGGCCCTTAGTATCTGCAGACAAATATAAATGCACCAGAATTTGTGTTTGTTTCATGACAAAATGCATAAATGCTGTTTGTAAGGTGCTGATAGTCTATATTAGTGTTACAAACTGGAAACTGCAAACTTTTTTTTCTAAATAAGGGATTTCCTCTCCTTTTCAAATAAGTCAGAATAAACCACAAAATATACAGAAAAAAAAATCTTTAGAGCTCCAGTACAGTCTGGCCCTTAGTATGCAGACAAACATAAACAGGCCTCCATCAGCAGACCTGCTGGTCTGCATCCAATGCCATTTTGCCTGGCAACACAATCCTTTGCATCAACAGGCAGTGAGTGATGCAGCCACTGCAGAGAAAACATTTAAGCACAAAGTTACCTGTTCTCCCTCTCTGCATTGATCCACAATGCCCACAGCTAAGAAACATAAAGCACTTGGGCCTGAGTAAGTCTGTTCTCCTGTGACATTACGCTGCAGTCAAACTGTTACACAATCTATTCATCCTCCTCATTTTCATCCAGAAATTCTGCAGTGAGGTCTGTTTTGCTGGTGGTCATTCAGTCTGGTGGATAATTGTCAGTTACTTGAAGGATTAGGTATTGCTGTTTGCTGCATACTCAGGGTATAAATTTAATATTTGAGCATTTGCAAACATGAATATTCTGATGAATTATAGCCATTAGAATATTGTATAACCCTGAGGCTCCTCTAAGCTTTGCTCTCAGTTTCGTGAGGTAAAAAGACTCTTTGCACTTTGTTCTTGTCCATCTGAATCAAAAGCTGCTGAAGTCTCCTCGCAGTTGCAAACAGGTGTTCAGAAAGTCTGCTTACATAAGAGCGCAGGGCTTAGCAAATCAGACAGATGGGTAAATCCTGTCTAAATTGCAAAGCAAACACAAGTTTTTTTGGGTGTGATGTAAGAGGCAATGTGTGTATGCATTTTTATTCCACACTTTCTATAAAAACCCAAAGTATTTCCAACTAGATAGCTTTAAAAGTCACATTTTGTGATCTTATAATCCTGTATTTTTATTTATTTTATTTGCATCAGGAGTATTATCCAGTTATTTGTGCATGTGTCATAGTATTTTCTTTAATCCTCTTTACAGTAAATCTGCTTTTTTCTTGAACTGTTTCCTCAGGCAGTGAACTTCTGGCAGGTTCTGGTGATGAATGATGAGCACACGGAGCGGCGCTACCTGCTCTACTTTCTCTTAGGCTGGGGACTTCCTGCTCTAGTCATCATCGTCCTGGTTATTGTTTTGCTTGGTGGCTTCGGCTGGACCATACATGCTGTGTACGGGCTGGTGCATGGCGATGTGTAAGTTAAACATGCATTTAAATGGATATACTGTACCACTTTCACAACCTTTCATAAAATCATAATATAGACTCCTTTATCTCAGGGTTAAACAATGATTTTGGCAAGATAGCTTAGAAAGGTTTTACACAGATTTGTAGCTATACTGTAAGAAGGTATCAGGATATAGGATTCTTCTTATTAAAAATTATAAAGTTTATTTCCTGCCAAGGAGCCAACTTATAAACCTAGATATCTTGTCCACCTCTTTATTTAATTCAGAAACCAGTTCTAAGGGGAACCTAAAAACCTTGGAGCTAGTTCCTCTTGATAATTAAATGTACTTTTAGTGTTGCACAAGCATCACTAGAAGCAAATTCAGGTCCTTAAATTGAGATTATGCCACTCTTCACATTTGGCACAATGTATTCAGGTTGAAAAGCTTCACCTTTACTTCTTCAAACATTCATCTTGTCACATAGCTCAACATTTGTCTCACTGTAAAATTTCAATCCAGAAGGTATCTGAGGTGTCACCACATGGCGTTTGGTTGTAGAGGATGTGCCAAGGACTCTCTTAATTAATGTCCATATAAAGCTCACCTTACATTGAATAGTAACTCTGACATCCATTTTCCTTTCCATACTTTAAATTGTGTCCTTGTTGGTTAAGACGGTCTTCAATAGCCCAGAAACCCCAAGTTTTTCTTGAAAATAAATTGAATAAATAAAATTTGGATCAGGTAGGTGAAACTTTGACGAGGTTGTGTGTTTCAACAGGATAAAGTTTGTTTATGAAACTGTTTATGAAATGGTTAGAGGAAGCTAACGTTACAGCTATGAAATAGCATTCACTTCATGTCTGTTGAAATCCCTTTTTCCTGCAACCAGCAACATTTACTAAAACCTGTATGTATAATTAAAAATATTTGATTGTTAGATTTCCATTGAATTTAAAACACATTTTTTTTGTATGTAATAAGTCTACCATTGAAAAATAATTCAAAGGCATCAAAAAAATCCTTGCATTGATATAAATGTATAAATATATGTATTTATACCTTTTAACTGTACTATAACCACCTTTTGAACCAGTTACCTAAATAATAAAGAAACCATGTTCTAAGCAAGGATGCTTTTAAAGAAACACCCTGAAATGTCCTTTTTAAAACTCCTCTGAATGATGTAGGATTACTGCAGTGTTTTTCTTCTTTTGCTGTGAAGGAAACTCCTTTTCAGAGCGAAAGGAAAACACCTGAACTAGTGATGTCATATGAGGAGAGAGTCTGTCCAATCAGCTGAATGATTCAGGAAATGAGTTTCAGTGTAGGCATTCATGGCGCCACACAGAAACTTGTAGGTGGAGTTTTTCTGAAATGACTTCCTTTCTATTTATAGTTTTGAAGCCTTAAACATAACAGACTAAATCATTTGGTAAAAAAAAACACACACAGTCTCTTCTTTGGGTGTGTCTGTTTCTCTGTGCTCCTGCCTTTATTTTCCATGTATGAGCAGGTATCCCTGATGGGCAAAGCTTTGTCCTGATTTGCTCTAAAACGCTGAATCACATCTTAAACTAGCCGGTGGTCTTAGGTGGGGCTGTTATCCTTGGGATTGAGCGAGGTAGCGTGTTTCCTGTGAGTGGGTGTGAGACAGTGAGTGCACACATGAGAGATTTAAGGACACAGAGGAGGGTATTCAGTTACCCCTGGAGAGCATACCCTGCTCTTTGAAGGACTGAGGCAGCATTTACATTCATTCACCCTTCCCTTTTACTCCCACCAGAGCAAATAGGTTGCCTCTTGTTTCTTCACCAAGACAGCTGTCTCAGTTTCACCCTGTCTGGACATAAACAAGCCTTAAGCTCAGGTCCTACGTCACAGACAATTTTTTTAAGTAATTGTATCTGGGAGGACTAAGGTCAGCACATATAAAGGGAATAAAACTGATTGAGTATAATGATTAGAATAACAAGGCTTTTTATTTGCATACTTTATAGTAGTGCAACAGTATTACAGTGGTGCTCATACCTCAGGTTGCAATAAGTATATTTGTTTTTTTCCCTCATCCAAACTTCATCTAATATAATATGTTTAGAGATCCAGTTATTGTGCCTTATTGGAGCTTTGTTGTTACTTGACCTGGTGATGATTCACCGATAGCCAAACAAATATTTTGTTCAGTAACAGTTTGTTTTTATTCAGATGTTGTTGGAAGAACAACTGGAGACATATTTTTAAAATTCAAACATGAAAAACCAAATTAAAATAGTTCAACACATGTACAGTCAGCTACAGATTTACATTATATATTGCTTGAGTGAATTAGCAGAATCTGTTAATCAAACTGATTTATCTAGCACCAGCTTTAAAAGCAGTCCCGAGTTGCAAAAAAAATCCCAATGCTACCCAGTCTTGGAGCATATAGGACCAATCAATGTCTGGGTTCATTTAACATAACCAGTTTGTGTTATGAGTTTTGCTCAGAACTTATTAGTTTTAAAAATAATAACTAAAATACTAAACATTAGGGCCCCATCATAAAAACGAGTGTTGTAAACATCCATTTTGCATTAGAGTTCTCACATTTGTTTTGCATACCTTATTATGTTTTGGCTAGGATTGCTTTAATTGGTTTACAGAACCAGCTCTATCTGTAAGTGTTTGCTTCAATCAAACCAGTTTGTTTTGTGAAAAGGTACAAAAATCACACAAGCATTTGGCTCCGCTTGTTTGGCAACTCTTGTTTATATGAGCATGTTGGATTTCCCAGAGACAAAAATTTATTTTCTTTTTTTTTTTTTTTTTTTTTTTTGAACGATACAGATTCCTGAGTGAAAGAAAAACCATGTCACATTGTTTTGTTTTGTTTTTGTTAGACAAATTTCACCACTGAAAGTATGTTTGTGTGATTTATTTTTTTAATTTTCATTCTTTGAAATGAGGAGGGCACATGACCTTAGTTTTGTAACCAGCAGGCTTAGCTTGCCTGTTTTTCTTTAGTGTTAATAATGACCATGTTTTTCTTTCATTGCCAATGTTTGGCAATGAACTGCCTTTGGATCTGAAGAATGGCTCAGAAGTGAAATCAAAAAACATTTTATTCATGGATTATTGAAGAAAAGTCTTAAATATGCATACAAAAAAAACAAGAGTTAAATGTAGTTATTAAATTCAGCATTGCAAAAAGGGGTTATTCTTTGTGATTTTCAGCACTTATTTTTTAACAATTTCAAGCTTGGTAGCTAATGTGTTTTATTCCATCTTGACTAATATATATCGTGTAAGAATTAATCACTAACATATTCCCTTTTATCTCCTCTAGGTGTTTCATCCCCAACATCTATGCGGCTCTTTGCACGGCAGTGTTAGTGCCTCTAATATGCTTGGTTGCAGTGCTGGTCATATTTATCCATGCCTACCAGGTAACTGAGCAATGGAGGGCCTATGATGACATTTACCGAGGAAGGACAAACAGCACAGGTAAATAAGTCTGAGCAATAATGTCAATTCTTCATTTTTGATCTTACTTGCCTCCAAACCAGGATTATACAACTGATTGTATTTGGAATATAATCAGAATTTTATAAAATGTAATTTCCAAATCCAAGAGGCACTTAATTTTGGTCACATTAAGTTTAATAGGTGTAAGACTTTTTGCTTTTTCCCTCCAGTGCTTTAGGTAGTAGCATTCCAGTGCTTTAGGTAGTAGCATTGTGCTTAAAGTGTGTTTGCCACCGCTTAGAAGGGAAGAGAAAACGTACAGCGAACTAGTGTGCAGATATGTGCATGCGAGTAGAAGTAAGCTGTTTCCTATGCAACAGTAACAATAGACTGTGAATAAGCATGCTTTCAGGGTCATGAAAACAATAAAAACTTGGAGTAAAACATCTACATACTTGTGGTTAGTGCAAAGGAAAATCAAAATAAATCACAATGGCCTTTTTTAAACACATGGCAACTTATATTTTTGTTAAAGTCGTCCAGACTAACCCCAAATACATCTAGAGATCAACCGTCTTTTTTTAATAAGTATTTGAATGGATTTAGGCAAAAATCGTTTTGTGCCTTCAATCCCATATTTTATCAATTTACAACTCAAACGGCATATTTATACCATAGATCAATATAAAATATTTAATAGAGAACCCAACCATGTTTTTTTTTTAATGTATTTTATGCCCGGAGTTTCTATGATTACCTGGTATTTATCTGTTTCCATCTTTGCATCATCTCTGATCAGCCTCCTTGTCCTTCCTGAAGCAAAGAATCTCAAGATATGATGCCGCCATGTTTACTTTAAACCTCTTCACAACTGCATACCATGACTTGCCTGCTTTGTTCCTTTGTCTCCATGCTTTCAATTCTCTAAAAATATTAACCTCATGTTAGCCTCTAGTGCATTTTTGGTTGTAGACTTAATACATGTGGAAAAGTTCAAGGAGTATCAGGACAAATAATGAGGTGAAGTATTCCACCTCAGTTATTCTACCTGTTTGAGTAACATGTTGAGAAAAACAAATCTAGATGAAAAACAATTTTGCTTTAAACAATGCTAACCTTTTAATATTTGTTCAGCTTAGATGTCTATTTGACAAAGTATACCACGTCTAATCCATTTGACAACAAGCCTAAATGCACTTGATATAATAATGTACCAAGATGTGTGCAAACAGTCTTGATCTGTGCAATATTAATTTGTTTTGTTTGGACAGAAATAACTTTCAGAAGAAGTATGAGTGGTGTAAATCAGAACTGTACAGTCAGGGCAGTCAGACATTTTGCCCACACAAGAAGAAACAAGCCAAACATCTTCAGCCTCTCATCAGTCAGCCTGTAATCACTGGGTATCAGTGATAATCAGGAGGCTTTCATTGGTTTTTGCTCTGCCACGGCCTCTCAGTTGAAAACTGAAGCCCAAATTAGGGCAATTTGCAGTTTTACTGTGTGTGGCCTGTGGTGCAGTGCAGACAACCAATTATTGTAGCTCTAAACTGGCATCAACGTAGCTTGTGGGATGTGATTAGGCATTATAATATGATAGACCAGGAAAACAAATTAAAACTTGTTTAACCTAAAATCAAAGACAAGGAACCAAATATAAGGAGAAAGGATGAAACTACAAAACAGCAGTGTCTAGGGTTATACACTTCTTGTACTATGAACACTACCCATTTAAGCTGTATATATCCACTGTCCATCCACTGGACAAGTACCACACTTCAGTCAATCCGTGCATCTGCTTTAAAACAAGTTTCTGCAAAATGTGCACCCCTTATTCATTGTTTATGTCTGCATGTTGCAGCCCAGGGTTACTATGGGACAGTGTCTGGGTTAGGGAGTGTACAACCCGGAGAGCTGACTAGTCCATCCCAAAAACAACCTATTTGGAACATTTATATCAAAGGATAATATAGAATCTCCAATTAACCCAACATGCCTGAACACCCAGAGAAAACAGATGAAATCCACTCTGAAAGGCCAGGACAGCTGTGCTAACAACTGCACAACCTTGGCAGCACTAACTGGTCAAAGTTTGAGGAGAAACTTAACAAGGTTGGCAGTAACTTGTATCTGTTATCTGGAGGCTTGATGACTCAACAGAATCTTGTTTACACACAAAAGGCATACAGTACAACAAATCATAAAACTTGCACACTAAACATATTGCATTTTTTTATTTTTATTTGTATCTTTTGCCAAAATGCTGTGCATATACATGTATATTATCTGTATAACTAGGCCAGAGGTGGGGTACACAGAGACAGTACAGGACAAACAAGCAAATCTGCATACACTCATACCTAAGTGCAGTCATGTTTTTGGACGCTGGCAGGCTGCCTAAGTCCATGCTTTAACCCACACATGGGGGGCACATGCAAGCTCCATGTCAAAAGATCCCAGGCTAGGGGGTGTAGAAGAACAAATATACCCTTTATTGTTCTTTAGTGGAGAAATTCAGGCGTGTCAGTGGCAAGTACAAGAAACTAAATAATACAAGAAAAGATTTCAGTAAGTAATACTGTTCAGCTAAAGATAAAATGTGCTGTTATTAAATAATGCATTTGAGTAATTAAATATTCAAGTTACCATGTAATCTGGATACATGTTTTTTAAAAGTTCATATTAAGCAACTAATTATGACTTAATTTTTCTTTGCCCTGCAGAGTTTATCTAATATGTCTCAAGCCTCCTTCTTCATTCCTTTGTTGCTAATTAGCTTTAAGAGAAATAATAACTTATTCATTAATTATTTTTAAAATGCAGATTCAACATTGATATTTCCATTTAGCTGATTAAATTTATGCACAGTGCATATAGAGGTCACGTTTTCAAAATCCTTACAGCAGCAAACAACTGGTGTGATAAGATGAGGACTAATCTTTCTGCTGGTGCATGAGTGTGAGAAGCCCACATGTTAAACCCACAGGACTGTGTGAAATATAGCAGGATTGCTGACGTCAGGAGGATCAGGCCATCATGCCAAAGTCTGCTTGTGCACCTCTTGCAGACGTTCCTGTATCTGAGGGAATGACTGGAACTCTGCCCTGTGGCAGGGAAAAGAAGGCGCTCTAAACCTGAAGTTAGGGATATTAAAATGTCATCAGTAAAACCCTTATCACAACCTAGCTCAGAAAACCATGAACAGTGTTTATGAGACCAGATGTTCTTTTTGATACAAGCTTTTTTACAGCAGCATTTGCTTCATGGACGCATGATTTTCAACGCTGATTGGTCAGAACAGGAATAAACAAATACATGTGATGGATAAGGTTTTATTGCAAAGTGCTTTATTGTTTACAGTGCCTTCTGAACTTCATCCAATTTTGCCTATTAAGGTTAACCACAAACTCAAATGCCTATTTAAGCAATTTCTCCCGGATGTTTATTGTTTCCCTACTTGGGGTATCAAGGTTGTATCTGTTATCCAGACAAGTTTATTTTGTTTGAATTGTTTTATAGCATTTGTACAACTGCTACATTGGTCTCTTCCAATGCTGAAGCTGAAGATATTTATCATCATGTATTTTGCATGGAATAAATTATTGTTGTAAATATATTTAATGATTAATTTCCCCAGATTTTGGTTCTGTTTGGCCTTTTTTTATTGCTAGTTGGGCTCATACGGGCTTATATTACATCCATGTTGTAGCTCATTGTTACTACAGCTGCTGACCTCTTTGAGGCACCAATGTCAATACTGTGTTTGTTTTTTTATATTTTGTTTGACTTTTTTCTTAAGTCTATCGTCTCAGTTTATCTTTTCAAACTGAGATATTATGCTGAAATACAAACTGTAAACTGAAAGTTATTAAGAAAAATAGGTGCATCGTGTTGAAAATGAAAACTATTCCAAACAGCTGAGAAAGAACAAGCATTCAAAGAAAGATTCATATATTTAGTTTCCATTTTAAATTGCGCCCACATGCTGTTTTTTATTTTCTCTTTCATGGTGGTATCCGAAAATGCAGTTAGCCTTTTGCAGTTGGTATCCATTTGGCTCTGGGAACCTGCTCTTACTGTGGGAGCTCTGTCCCATCCAGAGTGGAATTTGCTTACATGGTTGGAAAACTCAAATTGTTCATAGATGAGAAGGAGACAGATGTGCTTGGGTGGAAGAAATAGAGGGAATGAAATAGGAACAGTATGTGCTGCTGGAAGCAGTATAAAGGCCTAAGGAGCAAAGAAAAAAAATATCTAACAGGCCAGCTGTCTTCTAAGAGATCTTTTTTTCTGATAATGTTAAGAAGAGAAATCAGAGCACGTATTTTGCAAACATGGAGAGTAGGAAAAGAAGCAGACTATGTGGCAGAGTGGGAATGACTGAAGCATGGAAGTGGCACCTAAGTGTTGGCTTTTTGTGCAAACCTGGGCCCCGTGCCCTGTGTTTCCATCCTACTTGTGAAGTGAACTGGACTCTGCTGGACACTGTGTCCTACATAGCAGCTAGCAACAGGCTACAGCTAAACTGAGTCAGCAGAGCATTTTTAAATAGGATTATCCCTCATGACTCTAACATCAGCTTAGAAAGTTTTTTTCTGCCTTAAAAATTATTAGGCAAGGTTCCTTAAAGTAAGAATAACTACGGGGTCATCAAATGTGTGATGACCCTGTAATATATATATATATATATATATATATATATATATATATATATATATATATATATATATATATATATATATATATTAGTGCTGTCAATCGATAAAAAATTTTTAATCGCGATTAATCGCATCAATGCCTAAGTTAACTCGCGATTAATCGCATTTTAATCACACATTTTTTTTCTGATTGAAAATCATTTAAATACTCTCGATGACATACAAAAAATACATACAGGCTAGGTTTGTGCCAATGTTCTTTTTTTAAATGAAAACAGGTCACAGACACTCATTTATGCCATAGAAACATATGGCAAGAAGATGGGGAGGCATGTAGCAAAAAATAACAAATATGTAGCCAAAAAAAAAGGCCCTGAAAACAGGCTGATGTAAAAGACAGTCTTTACAGTTAATACAGTCTTTTGAACAAAGACAAGCATTTTACCCTACTGCTATAAAATGTAGTAGAGTTAACATTAGATATCAATTAACCAAGGTAATAATGAACAATTTTCAATTAATACATCAAAATCAATAGACCGACATCACTAGATGGAGGTAGTCTATGCTCTAGAAAGTTACTTTTCAGCCTCTTAACAAAAATGAGAACACACACACACCCCCCCCCCCCCCCCCCACACACACACACACACACACACACGATACTGACCTGTGGCGTATACAGACAGCAAGAGTGCCGTAGCAGATTCCATTTCACCTCAGTAATCTGTTTTCTCAGCGTATTTCAGGTTGCTACTAGTTACCAGACACTCAACTTGTTTGTTGGTGGTGGGGCTTAAAGAAAAGGCACTAGTGTCACCCAGTGTATGAGTGTCTTTTTTCCTTGAGGAGCTCCGCTCTTGAAGCCTATGGAAAATGCATAGACTGGGGGAAAGTAGCCCCGCCTTCCCACAGGCTGCAGCGGGATGTACTTGGAAAATTGTACCATAAAACCACATAGCGTTAATGTCACGTTAAAAAAATTATCCGCATTAAAATGGCCTCGCGTTAACGCGATAATAACGCGATAATTTTGACAGCACTAATATATATATATATATATATATATATATATATAAAAACTTGGTAGAATGATACATTGTTTTGTTTTCTTTCATTATTTCTTCCCTTTTTGACATAGACATCTGAAATCAATCCAACTGTTACTAGCAATATTTCCTAATAAGGTTATCAGATGGGGTTGAGCTTATTTTGGTCCTGTATTGATTTGCTCTAACAGTTCCCTCTGTCTCCTGGGTCTCTCTGAGAATGTTTTTTGCAACTTTCCTTATCAACCAAGAGCAGTTAGTACCGTAATACCAAGTGTAGGTTTAACATATCTGTGCTCTCCTTAAAGGAATAGTAAACCAAAACATGATTAGCCTTCATTTTCTACTCACCCCCATGCTGAACAACACTCTGGAGTACTTTTTTGATATCTCAAATGCATCTGGAGATCTGGGAGGCTTCTTCCTGTCTGCTGACATTCAAATAATGGAGGTCTAGGGTGCCCAAGGCAGAAAGGTCCATAAAAGTCCACAAAAAACATGTCAATATTCCTCCATACTGCTCGTCCAATGTATTCCAAGTGTCCTGAGTTGGTAGCGTCCATAATTTACTCGAAACAGTCATTTAGAATGTTTTTAGAGCATAAACAGTAGTGTATAGGATTTCCTAAAAGCGCGCGCCTACGAGTTCACGAGCCTACGGAAACCGCGGCAGACCAAACCAGATGAAAGTGCCCATTCAGCGTCTGCTCTTGATAATGCAAGCCTAGAAGAAGAAATGTGCTGTTTACCTGTGCAAAGAAAGAAACAACGAAAGAAAAATGTCTGAGGACTTCAGTGTTGAGGAAGAGCATGAGTTCTTTGCCGAGCTGAATGCGCACTTTCATCTGGTTTGGTCTGCCGCGGTTTCCGTAGGCTCGTGAACTCGCAGGCACGCGCTTTTAGGAAATCCTATACACTACTGTTTATGCTCTAAAAACATTCTAAATTACTTTGTTTCGAGTAAATTATGGACGCTACCCACTCAGGACACTTGGAATACATTGGACGAGCAGTATGGAGGAATATTGACACGTTTTGTGGACTTTTATGGACCTTTCTGCCTCGGGCACCATAGACCTCCATTATTTGAATGCCAGCAGACAGTAAGAAGCCTCCCAGATCTCCAGATGCATTTGAGATATCAAAAAAGTACTCCAGAGTGTTGTTCAGCATGGGGGTGAGTAGAAAATGAAGGCTAATCATGTTTTGGGTGTACTATTCCTTTAATAAGATGAATAATCTATATTACATAATTTGTGGCAACCTGTCTTTAAGAAGTCCAAACAGACAGTGCTAGCCAAGTTATTTGTGTAAAATCCTTTAGTTTTCTAACGTTATTATGCACCTATGTTGTTTTGCAATCTTCCTTGTCAAGCTGCTGCTAAGAGGAGCTGGTGGAGGTAAATCCAGCTGTTTAGAGCGTAACCTGCTTTCATCTGACTGCTTTTTGTCAGAAAAGCTGGGGAGTGCAATTGATAGACAAAGACAACTCTCACATCTTTTATATTTTTGTATATTTGTATTTACCTTCAACTTTACATATTTTCATAATTTTATTTTTTGATTTTTTTAGCACTTTGAGATTGGCTACTAGTAAAGGTTAATTTTAAAACAATCTTTTTCCATGACCTGAAATTTTTTTATATTTTTTTTTAATCAAAACTCTTTTCCAAAATGGTTTGTATCCCCACTTTTGTTTCACTTGGGCTTATAAGTGAGAGCACAAATGCTGACTGGATGAGGCGCTGACTCTAAGTGCAGATTCAGAGCATATATATTTTGAATAAATAGTTGCATTAAAGTTTGCAACTCCTGTAGAACTTTTAAAATATTTGCATGTATTTCACATTACATTTTCTGAATGGTTTTACACAAAGGGTATAAATCAAAAGTACTTTCTAATTAATATATAAAATATATATAGATAGATAGATAGATAGACAGACAGACAGACAGACAGACAGACAGACAGACAGACAGACAGACAGACAGACAGACAGACAGACAGACAGACAGACAGACAGACAGACAGACAGACAGACAGACAGACAGATAGATAGATAGATAGATAGATAGATAGATAGATAGATATTATTTTTGCAGTGTTCAAACACTAGCAGGGATAAGTAAAAAGGTTTGAGTTAGAAGAACAACAACGTTCAATATCAGTTTCCTCATCAACACTTTCCTGATCTTTATTGCTGGTTTATGGAAGACTGAGATAATGAAGATAGGTTAGACTTTTTTAAACCTTTGGGTGAGAACTGTTGTTGCTTGTCATCCTGGAAGATAAGATTCTCATCAGTCATACATTAAACAACAATAATTTTCATGGCTGGGCTCCAGAGAAGCATGCTGTGCTCTGTGCTTTTAGGAGGATTATGGAATCAAGCCAAAAAGCTGCTCATCAGCTGGACTTTGCTGTCTTCATAAACAAATGATCTTGTATTGAAGTTTTCACATTGCTGTTAATTTTATTTTCTTTAACTAATAAGGAATTTATTTCTAATTCAGTTTTTACTTTGTGCTCTAGAGGTGCCGCTGGTGCTTTACCTGTTTCTGCTCATCTCCTTGGTCTGGTTGTGGGCAGGACTCCACATGGGCTACAGGTACCTGTGGATCCTCATTCTCTACGTCATCTTTAACTGCCTGCTGGTAAGTTTGCTTGCTCATTGCATTATTTGCTGTACAGCTGATTTGATGATTGTAAAAACCTCCCACTCTCATATCATAAAGTCTATTGAACTATGTCAGGTTAGCTTTGCATAATTTAAAATGAAGATTAAAGTTTTGAGAGGTGCATCAAAAGAATTGTGTTGTTGTATATTTTCTCTGGTTAAAATTTGTCTTTTTTATTCCTATGAACTATTTAATGTAGACGTCTTTGTGTGTCATGCCTGTGCTTCGTTATGTGCTTGGTTGCAAATGATTAGCCTTTTTAAGAGTGGGCAAAGGTTGGCAGAAGACAAAATTATTATACTGGGAGTATCAAGGTTTACAATGTGTCCCATCTCCATGCCATATGTGCAAAAGTCTCTTTTTTTGTTTTGTTTATGGTTTCTCTTTCAATTTGTATCTGTTTTTTTTTGTGTGTGTCCAATCTTATTTCCTATTCTTAGCAAATAACAAAAAAAAAATGGTGTGAAACTTTGTTTGCACGTTTTTTCTCTCTAAACTACAAACCCTTGAGTGGTGTCTTTAACATTTGTTTGTATGGCCTAAATTACATTTTCCATTGCCTTTAAGCTCTTTAACAAACTGCATCATGGGAGCTCTGAAACCCATGGCCCAGTTTACTACAAGTCAGTATACGTATCTATAAAAAGTATAACATTTTAATTTTGACAATATAAAACTGTTTCGGTATATAAATTCTAAAGCAACACCTTCTGGAACCTGGTTTTCTAAGACCCTGCTCACATCCAACTAAAACCACACTACAGTATTTAAAATTCTCAACATAATATACTGAAACCTCCCTGATCTTAACTCGTCATTGCTATTTGAATGCCAGGTTATTGTTTACTATGAGTAGTTATTAAAACTTTTCATAGCTATTCTTCTTTTGTCATAGAAACTACTAAAACTTAATTTTAGCTGTTTTCTAAGTTTAACAAAAAGCCTTTGTTTCTAAGTTGTACACTGGTTCTATATTTGTATGTTGGGTCTGTTTTTTTATTTACCTCACATCCTTCAACTTAAGTTGTAGGTTTCTAATTAAGTGTTTATAGGTTCTGTTGAAGTCTCTTTGTCACTATTAAGTCAAAGTGCGCAGCAACAAGTCTGTGGTAACCCACGGTGATATGTGGCATCCACATGCTAAAGACAACAGTGCTGACCAAAATAAACTGGTCCTGTTGGCACAGTGACTAATAAAGAGAAGTGATGTCATCACCATCAGTAAATCTCGCACTTAATTTCTGTTTGCTCCAAGGTTTGCTTTATTCTATGACGTCATGTGGACTCTTTAAATAGCAATCTGCAGGTCCTCTTCTAAGTCCCTGGCCATTTGTTTGTAGGCTGATGATGTCCTATATTGTGCACAGATCTTTGGTTGAGGACAGTTTCACAAACTGCTAAAGTTCCCTGACTTACTTAAATGTTTCTATGTACATTAATAGAAATGCTCTTATGACACAGATACAAAAAACAACATGCCATTAATTTAGACTCTAAAAAACGTTTTGTTCTGCTGTTAAGTGAAATTCCATCCCAATTTCTATCCTGTTATAGGCGAATGTGTTAAACGTGTTAAGAACTAACACTAATATAAATTTGGTTTCATAAAATGCATGAAATCTATAAGCTTATACTTAAAGCTAGACTAAACGGTTGTCTGCAGTTTGCAGACAACCGTTTAGTCTGGCTTAAGGTCGTAAGAAGGTGGTTCCACAGCAGAGGGTTGTACATTAGGAGGAGAAATACACTTTAGTTTGGGCCTGATCTTTAAAGATTCCAAATGAGGAGCGCTTAATTACATTTGCATTAAGTGGGCATGTAGGGGGGGGTTCTACAAAGATTGTTTTGAAAATATTATGCTTTAGTTGTAAATAAAATGAGCGTCTTTTGCAGACAGTTGAGGTTGGTTATAAAAGAAACATGAGGTTATAAGCCACTTACTTGGATGGAAATAATAATTAAAATCATAAAAGATAAAAAAATAAATAGTTTTAATGGTTTATAGCACACTTTAAATATGAAGCCTATTTCTAAGAGCTATAAAGAAAAGTAACAAATTAAATAGCGAAAATAAGTTAAGTTTATTTATTATGTTGTCCTCCAAACTCCCACCACCCCACCCAAGGTCTGTGTGACTTTAAACAGGTTCAAATCTTGTCGCTATTGTTATGCTCTCTGCTTTCTTTCCCTCTCATCTTATACAGGTGTGGAAGCAGACTTCTAGCAGTTACTGTATATCTTCTGTCGTTTTGATTTATATTCATACAAATTTCCTGTCTCTATCTCTTTTTCTTTCCCCTTAGTTCAATTCAATTCAATTCAGTTTATTTATATAGCGCCAAATTCACAACACATGTCATCTCAAGGCACTTTACAGTTCAACCAGATCATACAGTCAAATTGATACAAAGTTTTCTATCTAAGGAAAACCAGTTGATTGCATTGACTCATTGACTCAAATACAATCCCCCACACTAAGCATGCTTGTAGCGACAGTGGAGAGGAAAAACTCCCTTTTAACAGGAAGAAACCTCCAGCAGAACCAGGCTCAGTGTGAGCGGCCATCTGCCGAGGCCGACTGGGGTTCAAGGAGACAGAAGCAGAGATACAAAAAGCAGCTGTAAAAGGCGGCCCCGTCCAGGAAACACACAGCCAGGCAGACGAGCTCCAAGGCAGCTCCCATGCCAGAGGACGAAGAGAGCACATCCACTCAGTCACGGTCAGAGAAACAGGACCACACTGGAAAACAGGCCGATCTCCAACATCTATAAACAAGGGTGTTGATAGAAGCAGCACAGCTGATGTTTCTTTCCAGGATGACGTCACAGCCAAACAGGAACAGACGAGACAAAGCTACTCTGAGGAAAAGCAGAGAGAGCAGAAGGTTAGAGATTGAACTAACAGATTCTGCAGAATAGGAGAACAGAGAGAGAATGAAGCAGAATGATGAAATGGGGGTCCCTATGTCCTCCAAAAGTCTAAGCCTATAGCAGCATAACTATAGAGATAGCTCAGGATAACCTGAGCCACCCTAACTATAAGCTTTATCAAAAAGGAAAGTTTTAAGCCTAGCCTTAAAAGTAGACAGGGTGTCTGCCTCACGGACTAAAACTGGTAGTTGGTTCCACAGGAGAGGAGCCTGATAACTAAAAGATCTGCCTCCATTCTACTTTTAGAAATTCTAGGAACCACTAGTAAACCTGCAGATTGAGAGCGAAGTGCTCTGTTAGGAACATAAGGAACAATCAGATCTCTGATATAAGATGGAGCTTGGCCATTTAAGGCTTTATATGTGAGAAGGAGGATTTTAAATTCTATTCTTGATTTAACAGGAAGCCAATGAAGAGAAGCCAGGATAGGCGAGATATGATCTCTCTTTTTAATTTTCATTAGAACTCTGGCTGCAGCATTTTGGATCAGCTGAAGGCTTTTAACTACAGTTTGTGGACTTCCTGATAGTAAAGAATTACAATAGTCCAGCCTTGAAGTAACAAATGCATGGACTAGTTTCTCAGCATCACCCCTGGACAGGATATTTCTAATTTTTGCAATGTTCCTCAGATGAAAGAAGGAAATTCTAGAAACCTCTTTGATATGGGATTTAAATGACAGGTCCTGATCAAAAATAACACCAAGATTTTTTACTTTATTATCTGAAATCAGTTTAATCCAAATGAAGTGACTGGCTAATCAGTTTCTTTTTCAGAGACTCTGGTCCAAAGACTATAACTTCTGTTTTGTCTGCATTCAGAAGCAGAAAGTTAAGAGTCATCCAGGTTTTTACATGCCTGTAATCTATGTAATGGGTTAGCTTCATCTGGATTTATAGACAGATATAGCTGGGTATCATCAGCATAACAGTGGAAATTAATCCCATGCTGTCTAATAATTCTACCAATTGGGAGCATGTATAAAGTAAAGAGAATTGGTCCTAGCACTGATCCCTGTGGTACTCCACAGGTAACCTTTGAGCGTGTTGAAGATCTATCATTAACATGAACAAACTGAATTCGATCAGATAGATAAGATTTAAACCAGTCTAGTGCTGTTCCTTTAATTCCAACAAAATATTCAAGTCTTTCTAAAAGAATATTATGGTCAACTGTATCAAATGCAGCACTAAGATCCAACAGGACGAGCACAGATACAAGTCCATTATCTGAGGCCATGAGAATATCATTAGTGACTTTCACCAGAGCTGTTTCAGTGCTATGATGAGCTCTAAAGCCAGACTGAAACTCTTCAAAAAGTTCATTATGGTGGAAGTGATCGCAAACTTGTTTGGCAACTACTTTCTCAAGAATTTTGGATAAGAAAGGAAGATTGGATATAGGTCTATAATTGACCAAGTCATCTGGGTCAAGAGACGGTTTCTTAAGCAGAGGTTTAATTACAGCAACCTTAAAAGCTTTAGGTACATATCCCTGTAACAGAGATAGATTAATCACATCTAAAATGGAGGAGGAGATCAAAGGGAATACCTCCTTAAATAACCTGGTTGGAACTGGATCTAACATACAAGTTGAAGGCTTAGATGAAGACAATAATTTTGCTAATTCAGAGAGTTCAACTGGATCAAAGCAGTCTAAACCCGGTTCAGATTCCATGACTACCTCAGGTACAATCGCGGATAGAGGAGTGCTTATGATCTTATTTTTAATAAGATCAATCTTATTTATAAAGAATCCCATAAAATCATTGCTGCTAAGAGCAGGTGGAATGGACGGTTCAACAGAGCTATGGCTCTGGGTGAGTTTGGCAACTGTATTAAAAAGAAATCTAGGATTATTCTTATTCTCCTCTATTAATGAGGTATGCTGCTCTTGCTTTACAAAGGGTCCTCTTATACAGCAGTAAACCATTTTTCCAGACTAGGAAGGACTCTCGCAGGCCTGTGGAGCGATATTTTCTCTCGAGTTTCCTAGCATTTTGCTTCAAAGTACGCAGCTCTGCATTAAACCAAGGAGCAAGCTTTC